GGTGGTCTGAATGGGGAGCTGTCTTATTCTTGGGAACCCTTGGATTTGCAGATGGTGGTCCTCAAATCCCACAGAGTCACATCTGCATCCCAGGAGAGATGGTTGAAGTGCAGAATCGCAGGCCCTGCCCCTCTGCCTTCTCTTCACTGGTTCAGAATCTGCATTTTAGCTAGAGTTACAGGTGCCTTGGATGTAGACTGAAGTTTGAGATTCACCCCCACAATGGTGTCCTGGGGTAGTTCTTACTGGATGCCTCAGAGCTGATTGGTGAACAGATCAGGAACTGCGGTTAACGGTCACGCTAACCTTGACTTTGATCATGACGGAGATATTGGTAGTATGAGACTCAGACATTGGCATTCTCTTAGTTTCCTTTTCTAGAGCTACATGTTACATATTGAACAGCACACCGTTGCCTCTACTGCTGCTGGTCTTGCCTTTTAACAAAGAGAGAGGATGACTGAGACTTTGACATTGTCTAGTTCAGGGAACACAAAATACTGCTTAACATAGCAATTCCTCTGGGCTTCAGTCTGCTTTTCTCTAAAATGGGAATGATAATAAAGTCTTATGACTTTATTAGGGCTATTTTGAAGAGTAGGCATAAATACATACATGTGTGTTACATCTAATGTGTGTAGCTATACATTTGTGTATAGTCTGTATTGATGACTTACCATATCCATACATAAAGTGTACATGCGTGATTGGAATATTCGCCAAATGTTTTCTAAGTGTCCACTTTAATTATTTTGTAGAAAATAATACTGGCTTTGCATTTTTAAGTAAATTTTAAAAATATTTGTATTGATTTCAGAGAGGAGGGGAGAGGGAATGAGAGGTAAAAACATCAGTGGTGAGACTCACCAATCAGCTGCCTCCTGCATGCCTCCTAATGGGTAGCGAGCCCTCGACCCTGGCATGTGCCCTGATCAAGAATTGAACCGTGACCTCCTGGCTCATAGGTTGAACCTCAACCAGTGAGCCAGGCTGGGTGGGCTTTAAGTAAATACTTTAAAAACTGAAAGCATTTTATTTTATTTATTTATTTTTTAAAGATATTTTATTGATTTTTTACAGAGAGGAAAAAGAGAGGGATAGAGAGTTAGAAACATCCATGAGAGAGAAACATCGATCAGCTGCCTCCTGCACACCTCCCACTGGGGATGTGCCTGCAACCAAGGTACATACCCTTGACCGAAATCGAACCCGGGACCTTTCAGTCTGTGGGCCGATGCTCTATCCACTGAGCCAAACTGGTTTTGGCAACTGAAAGCCTTTTAACAGAATTTAAAGTAACGGTACAAGTGACTGGAGAATGTGGCAGCCCTGGAGGAGGGGTGTAGGAGTGTTTCAGAGGGATAGTGGGGATGAATAACAGAGAAGAAGGAGGGTTTCTGCAGAATTGGGCTCTTTCTTCCTGGAGCTGGGCCAGGGCTCTGCCACCCTTGTGGGTGTTGGCCAAGTCCCTCCCCCTTTCTCTGAAAAAGGAGGGCCTGCATTGGAATAGCACTCGTCTGTCTCCCACTCCCTCTCCGTGGGAGGGTATGTATTTTTACTCTCAAAGCTTAGGGGAAATCAAACATGCCTTTCTCTTCACAGAGAACTGGCAGAGGAGAAGGGCCCCTACAGACGTGGACACTGTAGCAGCTGGGACTGGGATGAACTTGGCGGGTGGGGAGAAGATGCCATGATCATGGACTGGGTGAGCTAGGGAGTCATGATTGGGAAACTACCCTAGGTTCTGGCTCATTCAGAAATCCTGGATTCGTCAGGAGTCTGGCCTGTTCATGGCTTGACTTAAATGTCCTTTCATACCTACCCCCCCCCCCCCAGTTGGGAAAACCCTTCTCAACACGTAGAGGACAGTACCCCCAGGAAGCCCTCCGTGATGCTGCCAAGATGAGAGGCATACTCATCACTCTATTCTCAGTGGTCAGCAATCTGTGGCTCGCAAGCCACATGTGGCTCTTTGGGCCCCATGAGTGTGGCTCTTCCACAAAATACCACGGCCTGGGTGAGTCTATTTTGAAGAAGTGGCATTAGGAGAAGTTTAAGTTTAAAAAATTTGGCTCTCCAAAGAAATTTCGGTCGTTGTACTATTGGTATTTGGCTCTGTTGACTAATGAGTTTGCCAACCACTGGGCTAACTGTTCTCAGACTCTGTTTCCCTGGATGTTGTATTTATTTCTTAGTCTTTATCCTTCAGACTCTTCATTCCCTGATGATAAGCTCTCTTACCTATTTGCCTTTCCATTCCCAGTATTGGATACTCAGTTTATGCTCCTCAGATGTTTATTCAAGGACAGAGGAGGGGCTGTGGTAGGAAAGAGAATTTTGGAGTTCGATTACCTAGATTGCAATAGTGAGCTGCTTCTTATCAGAGGTATTCTTTGGGCAAGTCACGTACTTATTCTGTGCCCCAGTTTTGAAGAAAACAGTACAAACCCTCCTGAGTTTACTCTTAACTCTAACGTACTGTGTTCATGGATAGTATTTGGGGCTTTGCATATACCAGTATGTATTAATCCTTCCATTCATACTAAGGAAGCCATGCCATCCTATGGAATTGTTCCAGGTCTATTACTATTTGTTACCGGAGCCTGGTGAGTTCAGGAAGCACACTGGTCATGTCCAAGTTCATCCCAATGGCTGCTTGGTGGTTTCCATCAACGAAGCATCTGTCCTGAGTTTCAGTGGGATGGAATGTCCCTGTCCCTGCATCATGAACAATGCATGAAGATGCCAGAGTACATTGGCAGAGTATTGGGCACAATTTAAAAATAATGGTCCATTACAGTTATTCCTTATAGTTTTATAAGGATTGTAATCTTTTCATCCTCTGGGTAGGTACTATTGCTGTGTCCTTCCTGAACTCACCAGTGGCTGAGCATTGACCTATGAACCAGGAGGTTACGGTTTGATTTCCTGTCAGGACACATGCCCATGTTGTGGGCTTCATCTCCAGTAGGGGGCATACAGGAGGCAGCGGATCAATGATTTTTCTCTCATCATTGATGTTCCTATCTCTCTCCCTTTCCCTTCCTCTCTCTGAAATCAATAAAAATATGTTTAAAATATATTTAAAATAAAATGAAAGGAGGGCTGAGTGTTCCTGATTGCTGCAGCTCTAAGGAAGGTGGTGGGCATTGCTCTGAGTTGGTTCCCTGTTGCAAGCTTTTCATCAGTTTCCCAAGTGGAGCCGCTTTGAGGAACAGAGTGCTAGGGACAGAGCTGAGCCCTGGCAAATGGGACAGGCCGGGTGATGCCGCTGGCTGTCTTGTGGGACTCGATGCGGCCTGCCTGGGCTGAGCAGGAGCCGGGTTTGCTCCGGAGCCCACAGCCAGCCCAGCTCGTGGCAACAGCGTGCTTGCTTTTCCATTGGGAGGCAGAAGAGAACCAGGGGCCTAGAGGTTGGAGGGCTGCCTACTGAATTGTTCCCAATGGCATCCTGAGCAATCATTTCCTCACTTAATTGAATTCAGCAAGGCTCCTGTCTGGGGTCTGCAGTGAACATTATTCCTTTAAAAAGAAAAACACACACACACACACACACACACACACACACATATATATATATATATATATACACACACACACACACACACACACACACACACGTATATATGCATATGTATATATACACACATATGTATATACACACACATATATATACACACACACACACACATACATATATGTATTTATTGAGAGGGAAGAAATGGCCACGCTAAAGGTAAGCAAAAAAAATGCATTTGACACCTGAAGTAATGGGGATTTTTTTCGCCCATCCCTTTCTGACTTCCACTGAAAATTGTGTTTCTACCATATCCTACTCCCCAAGAGCTTTGCATAATTGAAATTGCCTGTTGGACTGTGCATTCAGAACGGGCGTCCTGGCACTGCCCTGATTGTGGAGTATGCTCTGGATGTTGCCGGCTTTCTCTGTGGGACCATTCTAATTCCATTCCCTGGTTATTGGCGTCCTGGTGGAGAACTGCATTCTGTGCCCCTACTAGACGGCCCCTTCTGATGGGTTGTGGCAGCTAAGATGGTGAAAATTGGGGAAATTTCCCTTCCCATTCTTATTCATAAATTAAAGAACAGAACAAAACAACCAGTGAAGGCTAGTTTCTTCACATAGTTCAGCATCAAATGAACTAGAACCCACCTTGAAAGGAAGGAAGGAAGGAAGGAAGGAAGGAAGGAAGGAAGGAAGGAAGAAAGAAACAAAGAAACAAAGAAACAAAGAAACAAAGAAAGAAAGAGAAAAGGAGAAAAACAAAGAGAAAAAGAGAGAAAGACAGAGGAGAAGAAGAAAGAAAAAAAATAGAGGTTTGCAACCTCCATAAGAATAAAAGTGGCCTTCAATAGCATGCACCCCAGCTTGCATTCGAATTTTTTTTTTTTTAATCTAAGAAAAGACAGTGGGAAGGAGGGAGGGAGGAAGGAAGGAAGGAAGAAAGGGCAGGAAAAGCACATTTCTATTACTGTGCATGAAGCAGTTATTTTTTTTTTTTATAAGTAACACACATAAACTATTAACACTAAAGCTAAACAAAGCTTTAAAACAATGAAAGGACCTGTTAGCATACTTGCTTCCATTCCTCAGATGGACTTTCTTAATGCAGAAGTTTCAGGAACTGTCTGGTGAAGCTATTTACCTGATCTTGTTTGAAAGCAGTGATCTTGTCGAAACTGGTTTGGCTCAGTGGATAGAGCGTCTGCGTGCGGACTGGAAGTTCCAGGGTTCAATTCTGGTCAGAGGCATGTACCTTGGTTGCGGGCACTTTCCTAGTAGGAGGTGTGCAGGAGGCAACTTATAGACGTCTCTCTCTCATTGATGTTTCTAAACTCTCTATCCTTCTCCCTTCCTCTAATAAAATATAGCAGTGATCTTGTTGGGAAACCCGTCTCAGTGGACTTGTCTCTGTCTCCCTCTCTCTTTGCTTCCTGCAGGAAATTCCAATGAAAACAGGAGCTGATGGATGCTGGTCTTAGGAGCCGTGCATAGCTGGTGCCTGCCTCCCGTGCTGTGACCACAGCCAGAGCCGCGCCTTGCATGATGCATTGGATGGCTGCGGACCGGAGGCCGAACAAGTAACTGTCTTCTTGTGCTCCTTTGCCTCACCGGTGGGACCATGCCAGAACGGCTCTGGGAAGCGCTCTGGGATCTCTGGACTCCGTTACTAATACTATGGATTACGCTCCTCCCGCCCTGTGTTTACTCTGCGCCCACCACTCCGGCTCCGGCTCTGATGAGTGGATCCCGTCTGGAACTCAGCAGGCTGAGCGAAGAGCAGCGGGTCCTGAACCGCTCCAAGCGAGGCTGGGTGTGGAACCAGATGTTTGTCCTGGAGGAGTTCTCCGGACCCGAACCGATTCTTGTAGGCCGGGTAAGCTTCGTTTTTTAAGGTCTCAAGTTCACTGTCGGTTCCTTGTCTTTAGATCTTAAGGGTCAGATGTGTCGAGGTTGCCTGATGGTTGATTAGTTTATCTCTTGGTTTCTTTGGGAATAGGAAAGATCGAACTCCTGGCAGCACTTTGAAAAGTAGACACGCTGCTTTTCTGGGGGGGGGGGGGGGTGTCTTCTCTCTCATGCCTTCCATCCCACCATGGATACATTAACCCTTCTCTCTCTCTCTCTCTCTCTCTCTCTCTCTCTCTCTCTCTCTCTCTCTCTCTCTCTCACACACACACACACACACACACACACACACACACACACAAGATTTTCTTTCTCGTTTCATACAAGGTGTCTGTAAGCCAAACCTCGAACTTCCAATGCAAAGAGGTATGCCTGCTTTGCTCAGTTTGAATGTCTATCACCTTGATTCCTACGATATTGCACTTTTTTTTGTTTCATTTTCTTTGGAGGCCATGTTTCACCAATTTCAGGTAGAATTTTCTCATTTTGTTTGTTTGTCAGTTATGTCAATCATTAGCCTATGATGAACAAAGGGAAACTCCTCGCACAGATTTCTATACTGGGATGCAGGAAACTTGGCAATGGGAACCTAGTTCATGCATCGTCAGATGGGATGAAATGTATAGAAGCAAACTGGGAAATGATGGCATGTGTGCCTGCATGTGTTAGACGGGGTGTACATGGGTGCTGCTGTTGGCAAGTTAGGCAAGTGTTTCTGGTGCAGATCAGGGCTGCCTGCTTACCATGGTCACCCGGGGAGTGGCTGAAGACCAAACACGTTTATTCCTCAGAACTGTTCACAAGCTCCTGTTAATTTTGACACACACCATCACACTCATGTAGATAAAATGCCAATTATGAGCCGGGCACTGGCTGATTTCCCTGATAACTCAGATTTGGAAGTGAATCATGCCAATGTTACTCATTTCCCAAATGCGATGATTGAAAGGTAAAAAACAGGAAGAGAAGTCGATGTTGATCTTTGAAACGTACCGTTAACTCTCTGTGTTCTGCTGGGGACTTCTGATGGCTCTCCTGCTTCTGCCTTGCAAAGCGAGGTGAGCTCTCTGGGACTGCTGTCTCGTTTCCTATAGCTCCATGTGGACAAAGGAAACCTGGACGAGGAGCTTCGAATCATTCAAAGACTATTGACTGAGTCCTCTCTATGCGGCCAGTGTTCTGTTAGGCCAGTGGTTGGCAAACTCATTAGTCAAGAGAGCCAAATATCAACAGTACAACGATTGACATTTTTTTGAGAGCCACATTTTTTGAACTTAGCTGAAACCGGTTTGGCTCAGTGGATAGAGTGTCAGCCTGTGGACTGAAAGGTCCCAGGCTCAATTCTGGTCAAGGGCATGTACCTTGGTTGCAGGCATATCCCAGTAGGGGGTGTGCAGGAGGCAGCTGATCAATGTTTCTCTCTCATCGATGTTTCTAACTCTCTATTCCTCTTCCTTCCTCTCTGTAAAAAAATCACTAAAATATATTTAAAAAAAATTTTTAAACTTAAAGTTCTTCTAACGCCACTTCTTCAAAATGGACTCACCCAGGCTGTGGTATTTTGTGGAAGAGCCACACTCAAGGGGCCAAAGAGTCGCATGTGGCTCACGAGCCGCAGTTTGCCGACCATGGTCTTAGGCATCTCCATGGTGGTAGGATCAGTGAGCAAAGCAGAGATTCCTGCAACCCAGGACCTCCCCTTCCGGTCAGTATTGGGTGTTTTCTCTACCAGTGTTGAGTGCTCTTAGAAAAACCCTTTGTGGGCATAAGCCTATTATTCTAACAGTAATTCCTTCCCCCTCTTTCTATGTGCATGTGTTCATGTGTATACCTTTATTTCCTAAGTCCATAAGACAGAAATCTCGAGAAGAATTTTTTTGCTGCTTGGTATAAACTCAGGTAGCAGAACGGACTGGAAGCTATTTAGAGTTATAATGCATGCCATTACTGCGACTGCTCATGTATTCCCCAGCAGAAATGTTAATGTGTTTGATAACAGGGTGTGCCCCAGACCCTGCTGGGAGTGTTACTTACTGTACAGGTTTTACATCTTAACATGATTATACATGTGAAAAATTCTGAGTTCTGAAACACTTCTTTCCAGTGGGTTTTGACTATGGGCTTCTTGTCCAGCATCGTTTTTTTTTTGTGTGTGTGTGTGTGTTTTAAATTTTATTATTTTTTTTCTAAGTGCAGGACCTGAGACCTAGATGGATTCATAAAGCAAACCAAGAGCAAAGAGCTAGTGGGTGATTTGTGTTTGAATCTGGTTGGAGATTCCCAAGGCCAGGATTTTACCCACCCTATTCTATTCTAGCTTAGTAACTAGCTGCCACGCTTTTAAACTGTAATTTGTACTTAAGAGTTATTGAGCCATAGCCCTGGGCTGTGTGGTTCAGTCCATTGGGCACCATCCATGCACCTAAAGGTTGCCTATTCCATTCCCAGTCAGAGCACATGCCTGGGGTGCTGGCTTCATCCCATGCGAAGCATGAGGCAGCAGATCGATGTTTTACTCTCACGTCGATGTTTCTCTCTCTCCTTCCCCCTTCCTCTGTCTCAAAAATCAATTTAAAAAAAAACCTAAACATAGAATGCAAAGCCCTCACATTCTTATTTTCGGGTTATTCAGAACTGCTTTAGCCAGCTGTACGGCAAACCGTTTCATACCATGTGAAATCCTGGGTCATTTCGTACCTGCATCATTGAGAGATATCCGTCTGCCTGTTTCTGTTAGTTAACTCTTCAGGGAGGTGTATCACACTGATGGCATCTTGTATAATGTAAATAAACAAACAGCCCTGCCCAGAGAACTTTCCACTTGGATCTGAATAAACAAAGCAATTACATTGGATTTTGTTTTGGACTCATAGAATCTGGCTACTAATCTCACCTCCTTTCTGGAAATGAAGTAGTAGAGGCTTTCGGCACCCTCATGACCCAGTAACACTCAAGAAAGTCATGTTCTCCCAAAACCGGTTTGGCTCAGTGGCTAGAGCGTCGGCCTGAAGACTGAAAGGCCCCGGGTTTGATTGTGGTCAAGGGCATGTGCCTTGGTTGCGGGCACATCCCCAGGAGGGGGTGTGCAAGAGGCAGCTGGTCGATGATTCTCTCTCATCAATGTTTCTAACTCTATCCCTCTCTCTTTCTCTCTGTTAAAAAAAAAAAAATTCGTAAAATATATTTTAAAAATTAAAAAAAAAGAAAGTCATGTTTCTCTGAGTGACAGAAATGTGGCTAATGAACGCCTAGGACTTTGAAATAGCTGGCATGCCCCTGAGCCTGGATGACTTTTTATTAATTACCTTGTCCTGCTCCCTTCCCTGGCCACTTCCCAAACGATTGCAAATTCCGAGTTAAATCTATTTTCTGAAGAACGTCTCCGCCAACGTTTCCAATCACACCTGTTTCCCCTTTAAGGGAAATTGCTCCGAATTATTCCAGGTTAGCCTTTAAGGATCTTGGATTGCAGCAAAGCCAAAAATACACATTGGGGGGACCGCTTCTGATGACAAGGCAGGCTGAGTGTGGGGATGATCCGTATCAGGATGCCCGCTGGGGCTTTGTGGCGTTTTATCTCTGTGCACACGCTTCCACATGCCACCCCAAACCACTGCATCGCCGAGCCTCTCCCTGGGAGCTGGCTGAGGAGCTGTTGTTACTCCTCAGCACACCTGCTCTTTGAAAGACCCACCTGCCAGTCACCATGGTGAGGGCCTTGGGCCCAGCAGACTGAGTTCAAGCTCAAGGGCAGAGCAGTGTTAGAGTGATTGACCCACCACTGCCCCCTTACAGCAAGCACGTCAAACTCGCGGCCCTTGCCTCGTTTATTTGGCCTGTGTTAGCCTTTGAGTTTGACATGCTTGCCTTACACCACCATTGTCTGTGTTTACTGTATCAGTACGCAGCTGGATGCAAAGGTAGAGCTTGGCCTTAGAGATATACCCTCCAGAGATTTGGATATTGGCTTGGCCACTTTCTGGCTCTTAACCTTAAGGAAAATCACTAAATCTCTTTAAGAGTTGTCCAACTTGGCCCTAGCCAGTTTTGCACAGTGGATAGAGCATTGGCCTGCAGACTGAAGGGTCCTAGATTCCATTCTAGTCAAGGGCACATGCCTGGGTTGTGGGCTCCATCTCCAGTAGGGGACGTGTAGGAGGCAGCTGATCAGTCATTCTCTCTCATCACTGATGTTTCTATCTGTCTCTCCCTCTTCCTTCCTTTCTGAAATCAATAAAAATATATTTATAAAAAAAGAGTTATCCAAACTGGATAAATAAGGGTATATCAGAATAAATAAAAGAATGTATGCGTAGTGCTTACAAGTAATCATTGCCACCATGATTGTATTAATTATTCAAGTGTGTGCTGTGGTTGGAGTATTAGGCAAACTGACAATGACAGCGCTGGGTGAGCCCAAGACTCTGGGGGCCCAAAAAGAGCCCTGTTAGGTGACAGGAGGCTTCTCATTCACAGGGGATAGAACAGAAATCATGAAGAAACTATGCATTTGAAGAGTAGCATTCTTGAAATGAAGGTGTGGGTGGTTGCACTACTGTATGTCAAGACACATTGTAAAAGGAATAGCCATTGTAGTACTGGCTTAGTGATGGCCAGGTAGACAGTAGAAGTGGATTAAAGGGTCCAAAGAGATACTGTGTATACACTGTATCGATGAACAACAGAAATAGCATTTCAGGTCAGTGATGAATGATTGACTAGCAATAAGTGTCTCAGGGACAATTAATTATCCATATAAAACTGCTTTTCTGTTCTCTACCATATACCATTTTAGGAGTGTACTGAAGGGTGAAGTCAGTTAGCATGGTGGGGTGGGCTGCAGTGGGAAGTTAGGGGCCCTAGTTGGACAGAAACGTCACAGGGAAGGGTAGGACTAATGAGGATCCCCTGGGTCAGAAATGATATGAGCCCATAGATTTCCTGTTGAATTAGAATGAAGTTGATTCC